CTGCTGATGTTCAGGTGTATATCAGTATGTAGTGTCTCTACTTTAAAGAGTCCTCTCCTGCTGATGTTCAGGTGTATATCAGTATGTAGTGTCTCTACTTTAAAGAGTCCTCTCCTGCTGATGTTCAGGTGTATATCAGTATGTGGTGTCTCTACTTTAAAGAGTCCTCTCCTGCTGATGTTCAGGTGTATATCAGTATGTAGTGTCTCTACTTTAAAGAGTCCTCTCCTGCTGATGTTCAGGTGTATATCAGTATGTAGTGTTTCTACTTTAAAGAGTGCTCTCCTGCTGATGTTCAGGTGTATATCAGTATGTAGTCTCTCTACTTTAAAGAGTCCTCTCCTGCTGATGTTCAGGTATATATCAGTATGTAGAGTCTCTACTTTAAAGAGTCCTCTCCTGCTGATGTTCAGGTGTATATCAGTATGTAGTGTCTCTACTTTAAAGAGTCCTCTCCTGCTGATGTTCAGGTGTATATCAGTATGTAGTGTCTCTACTTTAAAGAGTCCTCTCCTGCTGATGTTCAGGTATATATCAGTATGTAGTGTCTCTACTTTAAAGAGTCCTCTCCTGCTGATGTTCAGGTGTATATCAGTATGTGGTGTCTCTACTTTAAAGAGTCCTCTCCTGCTGATGTTCAGGTGTATATCAGTATGTAGTGTCTCTACTTTAAAGAGTCCTCTCCTGCTGATGTTCAGGTGTAGATCAGTATGTAGTGTCTCTACTTTAAAGAGTCCTCTCCAGCTGATGTTCAGGTGTATATCAGTATGTAGTGTCTCTACTTTAAAGAGTCCTCTCCAGCTGATGTTCAGGTGTAGATCAGTATGTAGTGTCTAAAGTCAATGTTCCTCATGTGTCTGCATTGAAGACAGACACGTGTTTTAAGAGAGCTCTAACTCTTCGTTGGGAACAGGTGAGATTAGTCACTCTTCTTTTCACTTTGCACATTTGTCAACACTGAAAGGAGTCCTAAAGAGGCTCCCTGCTGCTCTCATCAGCACAAAGCACTCTCCACTAACAGGTTCATCACAACACCCTGCATTTAAAACTACCATTCATCTTTTCAAGAGCAAACGCTCCATTAGAAGAGGTTTCACTCAGAGAGACAGCTCTCTGTTCCCGAGAGAGGCTTTTTCATTCCTGAAATACAACGATTCAAGGTGACCATGAAAAGCAAGTGAAAGATTAACGGATAGTACACTTGTATGTTTTTGTCAATTTTTTACCTTGTAAATAATGAAGACGGCCCGGAAAATGAAGATTCCTCCCACTATAGAGTGCTTTTCAGATGATGTGCCCTGACCAATATTTCTCCATGTGATTTTGGATTATATCAGAAAATAATCTCTGTGTAAAACAAACGTTTATGATACTTACACGTTAAATTCAGCAGGATAATCTCCACATATTAACACCACTTTAGGATTTCTGAAGTAAAAAGCTAACGTTAGGCTATACAGGAGATACAGCACGGTCACATGACTTCACGTCACCACCGCTAAGCTAAAGGTGGCTAATGTTGGGTTATAAAGGAACTACAGCACGGTCACATGACTTCACGTCACCACCGCTAAGCTAAAGGTGGCTAATGTTGGGCTATAAAGGAACTACAGCACGGTCACATGACTTCACGTCGCCACCGCTAAGCTAAAGGCGGCTAATGTTGGGCTATAAAGGAACTACAGCACTGTCACATGACTTCACGTCGCTACCGCTAAGCTAAAGGTGGCTAATGTTGGGCTATAAAGAAACTACAGCACGGTCACATGACTTCACGTCACCACTGCTAAGCTAAAGGCGGCTAATGTTGGGCTATAAAGGAACTACAGCACGGTCACATGACTTCACGTCGCTACCGCTAAGCTAAAGGCGGCTAATGTTGGGCTATAAAGGAACTACAGCACGGTCACATGACTTCACGTCGCTACCGCTAAGCTAAAGGTGGCTAATGTTGGGCTATAAAGAAACTACAGCACGGTCACATGACTTCACGTCACCACCGTTAAGCTAAAGGAGGCTAATGTTGGGCTATAAAGGAACTACAGCACGGTCACATGACTTCACGTCACCACCGCTAAGCTAAAGGTGGCTAATGTTGGGCTATAAAGGAACTACAGCACGGTCACATGACTTCACGTCGCTACCGCTAAGCTAAAGGTGGCTAATGTTGGGCTATAAAGGAACTACAGCACGGTCACATGACTTCACGTCACCACCGCTAAGCTAAAGGAGGCTAATGTTGGGCTATAAAGGAACTACAGCACGGTCACATGACTTCACGTCACCACCGCTAAGCTAAAGGAGGCTAATGTTGCACGTGATTACGTTTAGTCGTCTCATTTAGACACTTTTTCGTGTCTACTACTATGTCGTAGAATTAAAATCTCTTCAGCTTGTGTTAACCACAGACCTTATTTCAGGCTAACAACCAAAAACACATTCAGAAAAAGCCTTGACTTTGAGACAGTAAATAGGCCTGAATCATTTAGTGCAACATGAATGTCACACCAAGGAATGCATCACATATGTCCTCCATAGCTCCTCTGCTAAACCTGACAGAGCCATCTGAGTTCACTAATATTTACGCTGTTCAAACGTATAGCAGAGTTTCCGTCTTTAAACCGAGGCGAACAAACCACACGATCCCGGCCTGATGATCCTGCTCCAAGCCTTATTTATTTTTCCAGAGAGACGTCAAGGCCAGGACAAACATAATGGCTTAAAATTCTGTATACAGCGAGAGGATGACATCACTGGCAGCAACAGCCAAGACTGGAAACCACACACACACACACACACACACACACACACACACACACACACACAAACACACAAACAGTGCGGGATACAATTACCAAAACTATTTACACAGCTCTGAATGATCATTTGTTTCTCGTGTAATGTACATCACACATCTGCTGACCATGAGAGGCTTTTAATGTACGTCTATATATTTAAACCATGACGACTATTACTTAATAATGGAGGTCTTATCAAAGAGGCCCTATTATGTTCTCCCTCTCCTGTAGCTGTGTGTGTTCTATAGGTTTGTGTGCATGTAAAGGGTCTGCAAAGGCTAAAATCCCCGTGTTGAGGCGACATAATCTAAGGGTTTATTCTGCATATATTTGGATTTGTTTAACCTCACTGATGTGGTAAAAAAAAAAAAATAGGAGTAAAGCGTACAGGACTATTTCTTTCTACTCATTATTAAGAAATCATGCTTGGAAACTGTTGCCTCATACATTTTTAAATGATGGCTAAGTAAACATGTTTGGAGTGCTATCATATTATCATTTATCAAGTTAAATAAACATCACATTTATTTTAGAAAATAATGAGTTGCTGTATTTTACGGGGCCGACAGGTGCCAAAATAAAACGCTGCAAATACAAACCGCTTTATTTGCAAGGTTTCATTAATGCAAGGCTTTTAGTAAACACTCTGCATGTGTTGTCAAGTTGGTGACAATTTGTATTCATCTGCATGTGTTTTGGCTCATTTGTGTTTTTATATTTTTGAAAGTGGAAATGTTTTGGGTCGTTTTAACGTGTTGGCACCTGTCAGCCACCGTAGTAACGTGTCTGAATGTACATACAAATATATAGTGACTTAGAGGAAGAAATATACTTTTATAGATGTGGTTTGCAGAGAGTTTATTTGTGTGTCATAGCTGGAGATGTATCCGCGTGGGAAGCTAATGGAAACACAGACTGTGATTGACAGATGCCTCCAGTGCATTCTGACTAACATGCAAACTGAGATATCTGGCACAATTTCCCAATATTAGCTTTCCTTTAAGAGATAAAAAAAGAGGTGAGTGTGAGCTATAAGTAGGAGAATAACAAGCTGAGATAATCCCAGAAGAGTCCTGTCCTGAATTCTGTATCATTTTTTACTGATGAGCTTCTTGGGCAGCTGCCATGTCAGCGAGGATGCCTGTAAACAAATAATTATTCATACTAATAAGCCTCCATATTCATGTGCAAATAAGATCCCTCTCCTGGTATCTGAGCAGCTTCAAGGTTGTATGTGGGAGGTTCCCCTAACTCCTGCCTGACTTGACTCATTTGGTGCCAGAAAAAGGATCCACAGAAGGGTCAAGGATGTGAGAGCTTCATATCATAACTCCGGATATAAAACACACTCCTTATTACTCATATTGAAAAAGCTACAAGCGCTGCATTCAAATGTTTTCACAAGCTCACAGGGAATACATTTGCCAATTTAAACAAATATGCTGTTAGGGGCAGATGAGGATAAAATGGAAAGAGCTCGGCCAATTCAAATAATGAGGAAACCACACATAAAATATTATATGTTGAATAAAAGAAAGTTGAGCAGATTCCCAAATAAAAAGCTTTCTTTTGCTTTGTGATGTCACATTATTGCTCTGAATTGCATATATAAATCACCTGCGTAATGAAGGAACGGCTCTAAACCGCTGTGCGTAATTACGCGCAAATCCAATAATTGAAAGTTGGCCCCAACATAAGTTCCATCCTCTCAAGGCCAAGTTTCCAAACTCTGTAAAACTTTATGCTCTAGGTGGGACTGTAACCCTGGGTGCCCTGTCACCTTCACAATAAAAGCCTCTGTTCGCACTGAATGATATTTGATAACGCGTATCTCTCTGATTATAAATAGTTCCAGGCAGGCCCACATCATCACAGGCCAATAGAAAGAGGGGAGTGTGTGCTCCACGTGGATAAAGGGCACTGAGGGCTGGACACTGATTTGGCCAGAAACACATTTTAGCAACACGTGTTGGAATTAAAATAAGAAGTATTATGTTCTCTTGCAGGCAGCAACATTTTAAAAATAGACCTGATTCAGCAACATGTCCTAATATAAAAAACCTGACAGGAAACTCTGCAGGCAGGTGGAAGGACTTCAGAAGTAACACACACACATAAACTGTCATTCTGTGTGTCACTAAATCACAATGCAAAGCTGCACCCAGAATAAAAGAGCATGTTATTAGTTCACACAGCACGTACCATTGTGGTGAAGGGAAATGTGCCAAACTCTCTCAAAGACCCATTTTCCACTCTCAAAAGTTCGTCTTCCAAAAAAAAAAAAAGTGTGAGAGAGAAAGTTCTCTTGTCGTCTCTTCTTCTTCTCCTGCTGCTGCTTGGCCTTATTATACCGGAAGCAAAACAACCCTAATGGAGCCCGGTGTGCATTTTATTTTCTGATTTCGAACCGTCTCCTCTCAGCCAGAGCAGCACAGCGCGGTTTAATCCAATGCAAGGTGCTTTATAACTCAGGATATCTCCATGAAAAGCCTTCCTCCTCTCTCTCTCTCGCTCTGCAGTCTGTCCCGGTTCCGGTAATATCCCGCGCGCGCTGCACCACCGACACACTCCCCTACTAAAACCCGAGTGACAGATCCGGAGTTACGCGCTCTTCGGATCAGCTGTTCCTCCTGCGTAACGCTTCCTCTTTCCTTTCCTTTCCTTTCCTCTCCTGATTCGGGGTTTTCCTTTCGCTCCACCTGCTCCTTTACACGGGAAGTTACAGTGGAGAGATCCGGGAAAGAGCCGCGGAGAGGGGGTCGGTCCTGCTGCTCCTCCAGGCCGGGCAGCAGCAGCGAAAGGCGGGCTGGTGAATTATTAAAACCCGGTGCAGGCTGCGGAGCTCCGTGAGTAAAGCAGGGCGGCAGCTGGGGGTTTAGAGGAATTAAATCCGGGCTCAGAGTGAAGCAGGGACGCAGGGGATTAGCAGCTTCACCGGGGAAAGTGACGGGGCAGCGCGAGGCCGACGGAGGGGGGAGGGGGGGGAGAGAGAGAGGGGGGGGGGGGGGGTTATAGGGTAAGGGTAAACCCAAATATCTGTGCGTAAAATACAAGACGTCAAAGTTTACAATCAGGGAGGTTTGCAGTAAAATGTGACCTCAGTGCTAAATATAAACAAAACCTCTCTTTACGTTTAGTTCAGTTGGATGTCAAAGTTTATATTTCAGGAGATGTGACCTCCACCTGGTGAATTTAAACAGAAATTTATTTTCAATTGGATTTTTTAGGATTTGATTTGCCTTGGTTTAAATATGTGTTTGTCACAAAATATCTGCATGGTAATTCTGGGTAAATTAGGGTAAACCCAAATATGTGTGCGTGAAATACAAGATGTCAAAGTTTACAATCAGGAAGGTTTGCAGTAACGTGTGACCTAAGTGCTGAATAAAAATAAAACCTCTCTTTACTTTTAGTTCAGTTGGATGTCATAGTTTATTTTGCAGGAGCCTTGCTGTAAAGTGTGACCTCCACCTGGTGACTTTAAACAGAAAGTGTATTTGGTTTTTTTATTCAATTGGATTTTTGGGGATTTTAATTACCTTGTTCAAAGGTGTAAAGGTGTTTTTGTCACATGCTAAATATCTGCCGGGTTAGGGTTAGGGTACACCCAAATATCTCTGGCTATAACATGTGACCTAACTGCTAATGAAAACAAAACCTGTCTTCAATTGGATTTCTATGGATTTTAATTGCCTCGTTTGGGAAATATTTAAACATTCAAAGGTGTTTTTGTAATATACCCAATAGCTCCAGTTTAATTCTGGCAATGCTAGACATACAACTACTCCAAAAATGCAAAATATAATAAGAATAACAGAAGAGGAAATGGAAAAATAACTAAAACAGTGCAAGTGACTAAATGTGCAAGTAAATGCAGAATAAGGTACATTTTATGCATTTCAAATAGAATAAGATGTGATACAAAGTTAAATATTGTAGAAAATATCCACAGTTAATTGAATTATCATGCCTTTTTTTTACAGATTATATCAGGCGTGTGGAGAGAAGTTTGCATAATATATTAGGCCTTATATAACCTTATTTTAGATTATTATATATCTCCACATTTACGCACAGCAACGTCTCCAAATGTAAGGCCTTGTTGTTGTTCCCAGAGTCTAACGTGATGTGTTTATGTTGTCCTGGACAAAGCAGAGCAGGTGCAGAAACACAGCAAGTATGCACTATAAATATTAAATGTATCCCTGGGTTTTTAAATGGATCAGATGTCCCGGTGTTGAATAAATTACCCCAAAAAAACCGTGTTGACCTTTTTATGGTAAAAGAAGCTTTGGGTGGAAGTGCGCAGCTGGTGACGTCATGCAGGGAGAGGATGGGATCTTTATTTCTTTACAAATAGAGGAATAAAAACCTGATAGACACTCAGTGACTTTCAGATAAATGCTAATGAGATGCTGGAGCAGTTTGTCTTTCACACAAATATTAAAAACCATAAAAAAATCCCACTTTTTAGATCAATTTTGGACTAAAAACACATTTTAGTATTTTAAAATGTTGGATTAATTGATTGGAAACCGGGTTAATTAAATGACCTAATTATTAACCACACTTGCATTTATTGTTAAGCTTTCCTTTTTGCTGTCTAAAAGGATCAGCAGGTACATTCAACCCTCATTTTGAGTAAAAACGTGGTTAAATAACGCCAGATTAAATGCAAAGTCTTTTGATTTAGCTCCATTTAATTTGAATTACATTTAATATCCGTCGTTTTTTTAATTTAATTCAGATAAAACACATACAATGCGACTTTATACCTTTGAAAAATCCTTTACAACTCAGAATAAAATACACAAAATGTGAATTACAGGATAAATGATAACGAGTCCAGGCCTCAATTTGGTCAAAATGGGTTAAATGCTCTGTGACAGTGGGGGTTAATGTATTAATATTATATGTATTGATATTTTAGAGTCTATAGGTTAATGATATAAAGAAGGCCACAAAACATGAAGACTAATTTGTTCTCATGAATATATTTTTATTATTATATATTTTTGCGATTTAAGGCCCAAATTCAGTCGTGAAACAACAAATACAGCGTTTTAAAATCTGTCCGATTAATTATTAAAGTGTGTGTGTGTGTGTGTGTGTGTGTGTGTGTGTGTGTGTGTGTGTGTGTGTGTGTGTGGCCTGCGCGGCCTGCAGGAGATGAGACGTCTCAAGCTGTATTTTTCATTAACCCTTTTTGTGTCTGTACGATCGTAATCACGTGTTAAAATGCATCCAATTTCTCTACACTGAGCACATAGACACCATGTTATATTATATTATATATTATTGATGTTATTTATTTTTTAATGTCATCAACCTGCGCACTCTCTCTAACTACCGCTTTACACACGAAGCTGGATCATCCTGTGTGATGCATCATTCATAAAAGCTGCATCAAAACGTGTCCAACACAAGCATCTCATTTCTATGTTTGAAAAGTCCTCTCAGACATTTCGTTCGTTTTATTTCTGACTAGGTCTTTTATTTGACCTCCTTAATACATTTGCATCGAAAACGCGGCCTGTGTGGCACCTGAACGCACCGCAGGGTTGTTTTAATGCTCGTATTTTTAATATCCGTTTATTTTAGAGGGGATACAAATATTAAGGGTTTTAGGTCACAAAAAAGATGTTCGTAAGAGAGCAACCATGTTTGTTTTACGCACATATTTGGCACAGTAACCCCTAAAATGACCCTATTTGGAAATGTAAGCATCTCCAACACTTTTTTACTAGTTTTTTGTTTGCCTAAACATCGTGAAAACTTTCTTTACCTTTCCCTTTATCGTTATGCATGCAACAGGCAGCAGTTTACACACACACACACACACACACACACACACACACACACACACACACACACACACACACACACACACACACACACACACACACACACACACACACACACACACACACACACACACACACACACACTAACCTGACAACGCTCTGCCGGGGAATGCTGACCTTGGCACGGCTCGCGGACCCGAGCAGAGCCGAGCCGTTCTCCCGGTTCTTCTGCTGGGTTTCAATTAAGAGCATTTGACCCGCGCCAACTTACAAAAAAAACAACATCTGCTGCAACTCAGAGGGAGTTTAAGTAAAAATATTGCACTTCAAATCTTAGTTAAGTTAACATAAGACATATAGGCCTATATATAATACATGAAATGTCCAGGTTTATATATCAGGGGATTTACTTCAAACAGTACTTGCTAGTAAATGCACTTTATTACATCCCCCACTGAGACTCAGTTGGAAGATGTAAATAATATGATTTGATATTTACTATCTCTCTGTGAAAGTGCATTACCTGCAATTGACATTGTTAGAATATTATAAGAGAATAAAAGAGAGATAAATGAAAATAAAGAGAGCTGCAGAGGAGTCAAGTGTTCTGCCACAAAGAGGTGGATTTCAAGTACTTCAAGTAACTAAGTAAAACATTGAGGACTTGATACTCTACAGGCTAATGTACGGAAGAGGGTAAGGGCCACATGTGATTTGTTTTGTTCTGAGAGAAAAAGTCAGAATTCTGTCATCTTTAAGATTTTCCTCAGAATCCAGGCTTTGATATCAGAACCGAAAACAATCAAGTCAATTTTTTAGATCTGATCAAAAGTATAAATGTAGTTCTGAGAAAAAGTCAATACAAAATTCAAAAAAACGAAAAAAGAAAATCTGAAAAATATTTTTTTCCAGATTTCTTTCCTGAAATTGAAAGAATTACATAAATCAGAATTCAGACTGTAATATCGGACCTAGAGTTTCAGAGAAAATACATCTGAATCCTGTGATCTTTAAGATTCCCCCCCCCCCCCCAACAAATCGGCAAAATCAGAAAAAACAAATTCCCCCCAAAAAAACTATACTAAAAAAATTGATTTATTTTCTGAATTATTAATAATTTCCTCAAAATCATTTAAAGTTTTTTAGATCTAAACAAATTTCTCAGGGGTCTAAATTGCAAGTGTTGCCCCCCACAGGGAAAGGCCAGGATATATGTAGATACAGAAGACTGAGATGCATCTATTAGCAGATGAATTATAAATATTATTTCACACAGTCTCACTTCAAACTCCAAGATAAAAGATCCAATGTGAAACGAAGCAGTTTTGTCATGTCAAAGCTACGGGGAGCCACTGCAGAGGGGCTGAGGAGGGGCTGCAGAGGGGCTGAGGAGGGGCTGCAGAGGGGCTGCAGAGGGGCTGCAAAGGCAAAGACCTATGTGTGCATATAAAATACAACATGAAAAATAGATAAGAAAACGTCTTTACAGCCACATTTTAACAGACAAAGAAATAGAAGAATAAGGAACGCTAACAGCAAAATGTTATTCAACAATACGAGTCAATGGTTGTTTCTTAATCTCAGTTAAAGTCCACACATTGACTGGTTTATTACATAAATGGTACACTGAGTTAATTGCATATTTATCTCACTCTTGCTCATTCTTTTTCACAAAGCTCTGGAGGTTGTGTCTTTGATATTAAAATACATCGCTGCATAGATTCCTCCTCTGACTTTTCAAACACCTTCTGATGTTGAAACGCAGTATTTCCATATCTCAGCGTATATATATGTTCACTGGATCATTTGAACTGAATCCCGACGGGCCTTAGAAACACAGGTTGGAGCTTAATTAGCATCGGAGCTTAATTACCAAATAAAAACCCCTGAGAAAGTGAGGTAGCCCTTTGTACATCAAGGTAGGAGAACTTCAAATACAGGAGCGTAAACTCATAGGAGAAAGTTTTCTGATTGATTTGCTTTTTGATAAAAGATCTTAAAAGTGAAGAGAAGCAATCATTTTTTAAACCTCCCCCCCGAATAAATACATATTTCTGCAATAATCTCACATGCAGAAGCTTCTATTAGCATAGATGCTAACACAGCCACCTGCAGCGAGATTAGCAACAC